TTTAAATTGAACTTGAGTTATGAAAACTGGGAAAACGTCTTTGATTCTAAAAGTGACAATGATGTAAATGTAATAACAATTTCTTGAATACTTACCTAAGGATATTTTACTCTAGTTTTCCTTTACATAAATCTTCAGTGAAAGATACATCGAGAGGATGGCTTACTAAAGGTATATTAATTTCATGTAGGCACAAAACAGACCTATATTTGCTTAGTAAGACATCTAATAACAGTCTCTTAAAAGATTATTATAAAAAATATTGCAAAATTTTAACCAGCACCATTCAGTTAGCAAAGAAATTGCATTATAATAAATAAATATCTCAATCATCAAATAAAACGAAAGAAGCCTGGAATGTTATCAAATCCTTATCTAATAAAGGATCTAATACTAAGAGTGAACTTATGTTAAACATTGAAGGGAAACTAACTAAAGTCCTCAAATTTTGGCAGATACCTTTAATAATTACTTCTCTAAAGTTGTGGATGAATCTGTCTTAGATATGATTAAACAAGACCACAACCAAATTAATCAACATTCGTATTTGGAATACCAAGTACATGAATCTCACCAATCTTTCCTACCAATAAATTTCAAGCCTGTTACTAAGAAAGAAATTTATAAGATAAACAGAAGTTTGAAATAGAAAAACTTTTGTGGCTATGACGAAGTACTGTCTAGGATAGTAAAACTGAGTATGCCATTTATCTCATCTCCTTTGATTTATATACGCAATAGGATGTTATCTACAGGCACGTTTCCTACACGTTTAAAATCTTCTCAAGTTTTTCTGATATTTAAAAAAGGTAATAAAGTTGAGATATCTGCCTCTAGACCGATATCCCTTTTAACATCTTTTTCTAAAATCTTTGAGAAAGTTATTTATACGTTGTGCATTCAAGTTCTAAGGTCTCTGATTTTTTTCTCACACAATAATCATACAACAAATTTGAAACTTCTGTCACTTTTCAACGTAATCTCCCTGCAGCCGTACACATTTTTCACAACGTTGACGCCATGATTCCATGGCCGCTGCGAAGGCTTCTGTAGGAGTCTGTTTTGACCACTGAAAAATTGCTGATGCAATAGCGGATTGAAAAACGGCATCCATGTCTCATCCATTGTCACAGTTGATGAAAAGAAAGTCCCATTCATGCCTTCATCATTGCCATGCGTGCAGCCTTGTGGTCATCCGCCAAAATTCGTGGAACCCACCTGGAGGACACTTTCCGCATTCGCAGGTCTTCATGCAGGATTTTGTGCGCAGATCCCACGGAAATGCCAACTTTGGGGGCGATGTTTTCCACACTCAATCGGCGATCCTCCAAAACAACTTTCTCAACTCGCTCGACCATGTTGTCAGACCGGCTGGTGCGAGGCCGAGATTGTTTTGGTTCGTTGTCACACGACGTTCAGCCTTCTTTGAACTGTCACGCCCATGAACGCACATTTTTCACATTCATGACACCATCACCACATGTCTCACTCAACTGGCGATGAATTTCAATGGGTGTCACACCACGCAAGTGGAGAAAACGAATGATTACTCGCTGTTCTTGTAACGAAAACGTCGCCATTTTAAGTATCAAAAACACTCCTCACACTCGCCGCTACCACTAGAGTTCTGCCATCTCTGTCACGCATTCACAAAGAGTGCACACATATTTTAAACAAAACCGCATGTGTCTATCTGCTCCCAGTCCTGAGAAAAAAAATCGGAGACCTTAGAACTTGAACGCCCCTCGTAATAGACTGCTTCAACATACTGAAGAAAATAATATAATTGCCTCGGATCAATATGGATTCAAAAAAACAGTTCAACGGAATTGGCTATATTTAACCTAACTTATCAAATTCCATAAAGATTGATTTAGTCATTCAATTTTGAAAGAGGATACACAGGCACACAGACAGCGTGGTGGCCGTCTAAGCCTAGTTTTACATTTTTTCGAACTACAGAAGTAGTTGATTTGTTTCATTCTGGTCCGTCACACTAACAATATCATGAAAAGTTAAGCAGTTCCGTCTAATGTGACTGGTGAAGATTTTTCTTTTTCTAATTATTTATGCCCTTACATGTTTCGGTCTTCAGAGACCATCATCAGAGAAGCACCTTTACATCAATTCAGTTGGAAGTTACTATTATAATATATGTTCTTAACATTAAAATACACATATAATATTGACGTTGCGCAATGGAGAAGCCCTCCCTACCCAGCAGTGACGTGGCTGGTGAGTCAGCGCTCCGACTCCCCCCTCCGCACTGTGACCTGGCACACAACACCGCTGTCAACAAGGTGCCAGCCAACAGCGGTACCGATTATGCAACAGGCAAGCGCTGCAACTATATAAGTGAACCACACTGCCTACGAGTAGAGTTGAAATATAGCAGCAGTCGCGGTAAGAAGACCCGAATGTGTGGTTACATGATTTTATGCGACAGTGTGCGATAACTAAGAAGTCAGCGAGTGGAAGACTTATTGTGTGCTTTCAAGACTTTGTGTGTGCTGTAGTACAGTTATATTTGGAGTGTGTAATTCAGAGAGACTTGTATAGCTCCCGCGTTATTAATACGTGAAGACTCTTGAAGATAGTGTGAAGAGATTTGGTTGTAGGGTTTGTAAAGTATGGAAACCCGTAACATTGTTATAATTAATTGTAGCCGATACTTGTAGGTTGTTAAATAAACCAATTAACAATCTCTGGTTGTTAAATAAACCAATTAACAATCTCTATGGTGTCTTCAGTAACGAAACATGTTACAGTATTAATACTATACAAGTGGGCATAAAATCTAAAGTTTTTACAACTACAGTGGCTGTTCCAATACATTAAAATATTTGTGATTGGTTTGTTAAAATTTTGTTGGAATTTATAAACCAAGCAGGTTCATGTGATCTTTCTTATTATTTCTCTTTACGGGATCGCCACAAACACATACAGGACAACATCAAAGAACCCTCATCTTGAGAATGACAAGGTGGCACACGTTTGAACCCTGTCAAGAGAAAAGCGACAGAGTGCAGTGTGGTTCAGCCCAAAGAAGCGGAAACCAAAGAAAGTGTGCATGCAACAGAGTCGAGTAAAGACTCTGTTAACCGTTTTCTTCGATTCCAAAGGAATCATTCACAAGGAATTTCTGCCAGAAGATCAACCAGTGAATTCTGATTATGATCTTGGAGTCCTCAATCGTTTGTAGGCGAGAATTCTTCGGATTCGACCTGAATATCGAGAGCAAGGTTCCTGGTCGCTCCTCCACGACAATGCCCCACCCCACAAATCGAAGATTGTGCATGATTTTTTGGCCAGAAAAGGGATCACAGTCCGTGATCATCCTCCACATTCTCCAGATTTGGCTTCAGCAGAGTTCTGGTTGTTCCCAAAAGTTAAGTTGGCGATGAAAGGAGACCATCACAACACCATCCAGGACATCCAAAGGGAATGTACCGCAGTTTTAAATGTGATTCCACAAAAGGAGTGCAGTGACTGTTTTCAAAATCTTTTCAATTGATTCCATCTATGTGTTGATTCAGAAGGAGACTATTTTGAATAAAAAGAATTAAATTTTGAAAATAATTCACATCTTGTACTTTTAATAAACACAGTTCTAAGAGAACATGGACACACTGTGTACAATGGGATGTTGCCTTGAATTCCAAGGACACCGTTCACCACACTGTTTCCTCACTGCCATGCAGGTCTCAGCACAGCAGTTCACACCTTACCTTAGGGCACCACTAACCTTATTCAGACAGGCCAGTCTGCTGGCTGCGGCTCTGATGCAGGAAAAGTGACCTGGACACCTTGTACTTTTAATAAACACAGTTCTGACAGAACATGGACACACTGTGTACAATGGGATGTTGCCTTGAATTCCAAGGACACCGTTCACCACACTGTTTCCTCACTGCCATGCAGGTCTCAGCACAGCAGTTCACACCTTACCTTAGGGCACCACTAACCTTATTCAGACAGGCCAGCCTCCTGGCTGTGGCTCTGACGCAGGTAGGTGACCTGGACACCCATATCAATCTTAGTGTTATATTCCGATCTTCTGAGAGGTTTTTCCATTAAAATTATTTCTGCATTTCTTCTTTCCCTCGTCATGCTAGATGCCCAATCCATTTTAACCTCCCACATTTCACTATCCAAACAATACCTGCTGATTGGTATAAGCCACGAAGTTACTGACTATGTAGCATTCTCGACTTCTGATTTACTTCATTTTTGAGGTCCAAGAATTTCCTTGAGCACTTTGTTATCAACCACTTGTAATTTGTATTTTTTCATTGAAGACCCTACATTTCAGATGTATACCAAAATGGCAAAGTTGTTGTTTCTTATATGTTCATCTTCAATGAAAAAATACAATACTCTTTTGAAAGAAAATGTTTAGTAAGCAGGAAGCATCTTGTAGGGACCCATATTATAATGTTAAACTCACCTTCACATGATGCCCTCTGTTTTCACATACAAGGCCTAACAAACGAAAGACGCAGCAGTATAATCATTTAACCTTATGTGGAGGAAATGTCATTACTAAAAATCAAAGCAAAATATTTTTAAATTTAGTTTTCAAGTTTTTGGATCTGAACTGTTGTGAAATATGTTGGAAGTCAAGTACAGCCAGCCATATCTTAGGAATGCTCTGTTAATAGGCCGAAAGGCCTGACTTTCACTCTCTGTTACTCTCTTAAGTGCAGAAGGACATCACACATGTCAAGAAGACTAATGAAATTGCATAACACTGCAACATACATGCCTGAAGGGTTAAGCTCATTGCTGATGAAAAACAGGCCACGGACATCTGAGAAATGATAGTACAGCCAACAATAGAGAGATGTTTCCTGGTTGCCTGTAGATCAGATGTTTGCTAAATATATACGTGTATGATCTGCTAAACATGAATGTGACAATAAAATTGTATACTCTGAAACATGTCCCACTGTTAGCAGCATATTCCATATAATACAGTACCAGTAAATGATTCACATACATTATATTTATAGTATACAGGTAATTTTATTTATCATTCTTTTGACTTTGATCACCAGATTTCTTCTCTGTTTTCAGGCTGTAAAAATGCACCTATATTACGTCTCCATTCCTGAAATAAGAGTAGAAATGTGGTGAACAACATATACTCTTTTACATGCAGTCAGATCAAATGCCACAACTATAGGATTGAAAAAAAAAAAACAAAAAAAAAGAAACCCAACTATTGCTGATTATAAAGAAAATAAACAAATACCAGGTAGCACATCAGCATCTTTAAGTAATAAATTATATTGGTTTCATGTATCAATCGGAAGGAATGAAGCATGCAAAATTATACATACACCCTTAAGCTACAAGAGAAATCATAAAATTATATCACAGCATTCTATACATAGAATAAAATATTTTGCACATTCGATTTTACATCCTCATCAGTATACATCAACTGTGGGACTCTGTAATAGGTTGTCATCATCATAGAAATAGACTTATGACTGGAAATTCCAGATTCCATAAAATATCAGCAGCTACAGTTGTTTTATAACAACAGAACGGGTGGTACAGACAATTAACATAATCTAGTCCACATTAATATGGACAGTCACTTTAACTACTTTAAGAATAATGTATATCTTGGGTGCATTACAAGATTAAAGTACTCAACATTTCTCTACATCTCTTATTATGTACACATAATGGGGAGAAGTGGTAATTCAACAATACTGTATAACAAGTTTGGTCCTTATACATAAACTGAAGTGTTTGTGGAGTAGATTCTTTGTCTTGTCTTGCTGATGATGAAAGTCTCTTTGTCAAGTCACTCTTTAACTTTGCTTTTCCCAGGAATGACACAGTTAAGTCAAAGAAATGTCTGAAAAAGAGCCTGTCATGTGTGATCACTACAAAATGTATCCCTGCTCCAGAGAAGCATTAGGAATTAATGCATTTTTCAGGTACATTAATTTATACAATCTGTCAATCTGTTATACCAGCATTATGTCTTGACAAAACTAGAAATATATATCTTCAAAGACAATAATTTAAATATTCCTGAGTTTCTCTTACAATTTCAGATGACTGAAACTGAAAATTGTTTACAAGATACACATAATACAATAATACAAATACAGTTTCTTATTCTACTTATTCAATTTTGAAGCCTGTAAAAATTATTGAACATTTTATGGAACAGTAATGACAGATGTGACAGTATAAATTATTCTTGTAGTTCAGTTCTACTTGAAGAGCTGTCGAGCGTAATACCAGATGCGGAAGAAGTATTCATCTCTTCTGAGCAGAGAACCCCGTGCATATGAACGGATATCAGCATCCATTCCAGCTTCTTTCATCCATGATGTTGTGGTTTCTGTGCTGAAGCTGAGTGTGGGAGCAGTTGTCTCTGCCTTATCAATTTCCAGAAACTCAATTTCTGTTGTAAAGAAATATGAAAATGTAATAAGCATATACTCATATGAATTACATAATTTGAAACTTAATAAATGATCCAAATGAATAAGAATGGCCCTGTATACTTATGTATACTTTGTCTAAAAATTAAGATTAATTGATAATGTATCATTTTAAGATACGTTATTTACAGACCTTTAGGTGGAAGGAATTGGGTGCTGGGGTTCTTCTCTTTCATGGTATTTTTATAACACTGGCAATATCTAGACTACACAGCATCAGATGACTGACAAATAATAAACTAAAATGGATTTGGAAGGCAGTGTTCATGACCTAAATCAAAGTACTATCCTAGCATTAGCCTGGAAGGACTGAGGAAAGCCACAAAAAGAAATTGGGGCATCTAGTGTCTTAGCTGAGATTTGAACCATGCGCCTCCCAAACATAAGTCTAGAGCATTACTGTTACACTAAACTGCTCAGTGTGTTTAGCTTGTAGGAAAGGCAAGAAGGATTTGTATGTAGAAAATATCCGTTAACCAGTAAGGGCTAGGAGAAATCACTAAATCACAGAAGGGATAAGAAGCATTCGGTTAACTTGCAAATCTTTATCTCTCATGCATGAATGTAAGCGGATGTAAGTACAAGAAATCTGTTGAGGCAAAGGTGCCAAGCATAAAGGAATTTCTTGATGGTCTACCATACTCATTACAGGTATTTCTGACAACAGCCATGAGATCAAGCATGCATGGTTAGAGGTCATACTATATTATAACGGTTATGGTGGCAGAATGAGTCCTTTGGAGGTAGGTGTGGGAATGTGATCTTCATTTGTGATGGATAAGTGGATTTGGGGGAGGGAAGGGACTCGGAAGAAGGAAGGATGATGACTACCATTTTAAGTTACACAGAAAAATTTTCATTGACTTTGTGTATTCTTAAAACTAAGAACATTTTTGGGTATACTTGCATTATCTGGTTTTCATTAAACAAGGGTCATACTCAAAATAATATATATGATGGAATGGACCAGATATACACATATATTTCATGTTGAACAATACTTTGTCTTATCCATTTTTCTTTGTTAAGTAGTTTACAATTTATATGCATGCAATATTAAAAAAAAGACTTGAAAATGTGTTTGGGAAAGTACTCACCAGTAGGACGCAAGACTTTGAATGGTTCCTCTGATTCAAGCGGGTCACTGAGTCCAACTTCATTTCGGGCAAATATTCTTATGAGATACTCATGATTTTCCTGTTGATTAATGAATATTTTTTTATTTAACATCATACTGTAATTGTAAACCTAAACGGTTGAATGCATAAAAATATTCTATCACTGGCTCAATAGAACAAAATAGACTTATCAGCAGTGATAAGGATTCTTTACCTTGCTGTAGCATACTTATGTTTCTTTCAGATGTAAACAAACAGGACAGACAATTTTTGCTAATTATTCTTCATTATAAGATATGTGGTCATAGTGTAAGAGAGTTATTTATTTGGGGTTCTACTACATTATTATTATTATTATTCGGAGGGGGTGGGTTACCCCATGCACTGTGACCATTTATTGATCTATTGTGTGTGATTATTCTAACTAGTCACCATGCCCTTCCAGTACTGGTGCTCAGTATCAGCCCCTTTCTGCCAGCGAGGTCGGCCCTCTCCAGTAGTTGTCCCTGATACTTCCCCATCTACTGGAGGAATTGGAAACTACTTGGGTGGGAAACTGCCTAATTTTGCTCAGAGGTCTCCTAGAGACATGAGGATCTTTTACGTGCCATAAATCTATGACACGGGACACACGGCTTAAAGTCCCTCCCGGAGAACATGTTCCCTGAATTTTTCCATGACATCCACTGGGTTTGAACCCGTGTACCTTGAGTCATGAGGTGGGAACGTTACACCTAGACTACGGAGGCTGCTCTTCTGCTACATTACAGTGAACCAGAATTTCCTGACAATTTTTATATTTAATCACTTAACACTATGATAAAAATGAGCATTAGGTGGCAGTTTTCATTTTCTATCCAAATGTGATCTACAATCAGCCACTATATTTTGAAATAATCACTTACTTGTCCATGGTTAATGCTGACCGTCTTACAGTGTATACACTTTTTCACCTTATTCTTCACTTCCACACTACATGTTTCAGCACTAATGTGCCATCTTCAGGTGTCTTTATGCACGTTAAACTATTGTACTGCATGCCATAATGTCTTCATTCTAAAATGACTAAAATCTGTATTCATCATATAGGACGATGAATTCTAAAAAATCTTTTCAGGATTCTTCCTACGTCGCACTCAAACACGCGAATTATGCCAATCCTCTTTTATGTGAGCATTCTTCCTACTTATATTTGTGTATCTGTAACGTGAAATTGTTATTCATTAATACCACTTTCTGACTTTTATCTGTTACATGTGGCTTTATAATATTTAATACTCACCGTGTTCTGTGTTGTGTTTTGCTCCTGTTACTGCATGCGTTGTACTGCTGGATCTGTGTGTGTGTGTGCTGTCTTCATTTTGGTTGTGTTATGATGTTGTGGGGGTAGATGTGGGGGTAGGAGGTGGGGTGTTTTTATGCTGTTCTGTGTAAATAGTATGTAATTTGTGAAATATTAGGTTATATATATCTTTATTTATATTGTTCATATGTGTGTTTTTCTTTGTCGTTCTGTATATATGATAGTTTTCCAATGTGTTTAAGTATTGTCCTTTCTTATTTGTTACTATGATATCCATAGTGTTTTCTATAGTACCATATGCATGTCCTGTGTTTAATATGTGTTCTGAGTATCCTGTACTGCTGTTATTGTGTCTTATGTCATGTATGTGTTCTTTGTATCTGGTGTTAAATTTCCTTCCCGTTTGTCCTATATATTCCATTGGGCAATCTAGGCATTTCGTGCTATATATGCCATTATTATTATATTTATTTATTCATGGCCTTGATTTTAATATATGTTGTAAATTGTTCTTAGTTTTAAATGCTATTTTCAATTTTGTGTCTCGAAATATTTTTGTTATATTTCTTGTTTCTTTTCCTATATATGCGAATGTTGCCCATTTCGTTTTTGATTTTTGTCCTTCTGAATTCTTTATGAAGTTCTGCTTTTTTGCAGTATTTTGTTTTCTGCTGTTTGTAGTTAGTTTTGTAATTATATCTGTGTTGTACTTATTATTTATAAGTATGTTGCTTATAGTATCTATCTCATTATCTTTTGCTGTTCTGGTAATGGAGTAGTTTTTTACTCGATCTATGAGAAATTTAATACCAGATATCTTGTGTTCTTGTGGATGACACGAGTCACTTGGTATTATTATGTCCGTTGCTGTGTGTTTTTGGTGGACTGAAAATTGTAACTTTTTCTGTTCCTCTATATATTCCTATATCTAGGAAATTGATAGATTTATGGTACTCTTTCTCTAATGTGAAATTTATCGTTGGCTGCAGTTTATTAAATTCCGCAGTCACATTGTCAATATTTGTTTTGTTTATATCATACAATATTAGTATGTTGATGACATATCTGAAATATCCAATTATGTTCTGATTTTTTAATATGTTGTATATTTATGTGTGTTCCATATTCTGTAAGTATATTTCTGCTAATATTGCAGATGTTGGAGCTCCCATCGCTAAACCATCTGTTTGTTTGTAATATTTTTGTTCGTACTGAAAATAATTTTGGTCTAGTATAGTGTTCATTATGTACATAATTTATCTTTGTGTATTTATGTTTGTATTATGATTGTATTGTAGTATGTTTTTAGTTATGTTCCTTATATCTTTCTTGCGTATGTTTGTATACATGTTTTCTATATCAAAAGAACATAACCGTATGTTTTCATCTATTATAATGGTGTTTAAATCATCCATTAATTGTATGGAGTTATGTATATTGTATGCGTTTGGCAATTGTAAGTGTTCTAGTAGTGTTCTGGATAAAAGTATTGCTAATTGGTATGCTGGGGCATTTCTCCAGTTGATTATGGATCTAATAGGTGTGTTGTTTTTGTGTAGTTTTTTTGTTGCGTGTAAATTTGGGGCCATGGGATTCATGTTCGTGTATTTCCATTTTTGTTCTTTTTGTATTGTATTTGTGCATAGTTTTATTGTTTGTTTAATATCATTTTGGTATTGTTGTGTTGGATCTTTGTTTGTTGAGTATTAAATATTATAAAGCCACATGTAACAGATAAAAGTCAGAAAGTGGTATTAATGAATAACAATTTCACGTTACAGATACACAAATATATGTAGGAAGAATGCTCACATAAAAGAGGATTGGCATAATTCGCGTGTTTGAGTGCGACGTAGGAAGAATCCTGAAAAGTTTTATTATTTAGAATTCATCGTCCTATATGACGAATACAGATTTTAGTCATTTTAGAATGAAGACATTATGGCATGCAGTACAATAGTTTAACGTGCATAAAGACACCTGAAAATGGCATATTAGTGCTGAAACATGTAGTGTGGAAGTGAAGAATAAGGTGAAAAAGTGTATACACTGTAAGACGGTCAGAATAAACCATGGACATGAATCAGCGTAACAGGACGCTAAAATATAACATAATCACTTACTTGTAGATCTTTTATATTAAGTTTCTGTATGTCTGCTTTTACTCGACCAACTTCTATCCACATAGTCTTCTTTATATCTCGTATAGCAATGGTGTAGCTTTCAAGAGGTGCTCCTCCATCTGTTTCAGGTTTTCCCCACTCAATTATGATGGAATTAGGACCAACGATACGGATCTCCAGTGGAGCAGTTGGAGGTGATGGAGGTGCTGTAACAGTAGATAGACACAGTTTTGGTACTGTATTTTGAATCTGTATTTCTTATGAACGGTGTTGTAATAAGAAAAGATTAAACAAGTAATTAATTCCAGTGTGAGGAGTTCTTTTTTGGACGGCGATTGTTACTGATTTTAGAAATTCCCTTCTTTTGTGGAACTGAACAGTTCATTACCATATTCACAAGAGTACACCAATGAACCATATTCTGAGCCACTTGACTCTATTCCACATAAAAAAACTCCGTGGCCTGTAGTCCACAAGCGAACTATACCAACCAAGCCTTTTCCATATCTTCATATTAAATTTCTCTAAAATTCATTTTAATATTATGTCATCTAGGTCTAGGTCCCAAATGGTCTTTTTTCCCTTGAGGGAAATATTCTTCTCCATACTCCATTCCCAAATACCATCAGTCTATATTCTTTCCTCTGACTGAGATCAAACTTCACACCCATGCAATACAACAGGCTAGATTTAAATTTTGTATTTTTTAAACTTTAAGTTTTCAGAAAGAACATGTGTTAAAAATTCTGGACTGAATGGTATTGAGCATTCTTCAGATTTCATTTGCTCTTAATATTGTCATTAATATGATTTTTATATGTCACTGCCATTCCCAAGCTCTTGTATTTTGCCTCCTTTTTAAGAATTTATTAGCTATCCTTATATCACAATTTTGTCCAACATGCCAATGACAAGAGAAGGAGATATACATTGGTTCCACACATATGCTTCTGGACTAACTTCATTACTAGATTATAATCAAATTCTGTATTATTTTTTGTGGTATTCATGCTTCTGTCCAATGTTAACATTTTAAGCATAGGCCAGTAGCTGTTGTGGTCCACTGAACTCCAGTCCCCCCTAATTCTTCTGCACTTTCCTAATGGCATATTCTGCAGTCAAGATCAAAAGCAGTGTTAATGAAACGTATTCCTGTTTTAGATTGCTCTAAATAGGAAACCTGTCACATGAATGGAATGAAATATAAAGCTTTAAAATATATACTTATATTTGGTGTAGCTGAAAGTGTTGTGTTTCCCAAAACAATGATAAGACAGATGTGAATGTACATATTTTCACATGTTAGAGTGGCTCTCTATGGGATTTTGGATTGGAGATTCGATTTATTGACCACTCACAGGTCGTAACTAAAAATAACTATAACACTATCGTTAATTTCTACACTTTACAAATCGCTATAGCACATGCTCAGTCTTTTTAGTCTGTTTTCACTAGTCGTTTCCCAGTAATGTATCTTAACAATGGATATTCTTCAACTGCACCAACCAAATCTTCTGTTCACAGATTTCCTCACAACTGACTACTGACAAGTTACTCTGTTAAAACTGACTAATTTCTAAACTTGTCCCTTGCCTATGACATCTTGGCATGGACCACGTAGAAAACATCGTTCATTGTTGTACTCCAACCATTTCCATGGGAATGTGTTTGTCTGTAATAGGAGTTCCTTGGTAACAGTTGCGTATACTTCCTCATTAAGAATCTGTGTACCCAGCAGAGGATGTTGTTTCGTTGTTTGTTTTGAAGTCATTACCCAGTAACAGTTCTACATGCTACAATATTTATACATGTAGGTTTTGTACCTGTTTTATGGTAACAAATTTGTATTTTCAATTCTCTGCAAAAAGTGATGTTGCATTTTCATTGTGCTATAAAATGTCCCTCACCTTCAGATCGATGTTTCTTAAGATGGCGCACATAATGACACATATATGATCCCATGTATTTCTGGAAATCACTTTAGTCCCAGCTGTAGCTATATACCCGTTATTTATAGTAATTTGAGTATGTGTATGAGCATGTTGTCAAAATGGGGTCATACCAGAAATTCCTTAAGTTTAACATGGTTAAAAGTGCAGAAAAAACAGGAACAGGCCAACGAGGAGAAAGTTCAATGACACTGACTAGAGAAACCAGTAGCCTGTACTCATGAGAACCAACAGTCTTCTCAGTTTTTGGTGATTATGACAAGGCCCCAAAGCAGAAAATTTTGGGAAATACAGAGAGCCTAGTAAGTGATATGTGTACATGAACAACGAAAGAGGTGATCCATTATTTAACGTGAAAGGCATTAGTTTAACGTTTGTAGTAGTCTCAAATTGTGGAATGGAATTCAAGGCAAGCTGCTATTATGTGAATGAAACCTATACTGGCAATAAGAAAAACACTAATTTCTTTTTAATTTTGTATCTTGTTTGAAATCAATTTAATGAGTCACGTTGATATATGTTAAATACGAATTTTAAGAATAAATAATATCAACATTTCTGTATGCATTGGTAGCATTTATTTCAGTATGTGCTACCAACATGTGAAGGTGTGTAATTGGGCTTATGCTCTGCTAAAACAAATTTCTGTATTGTATATTTCTAGATAACTTCAAAAGAATGGATATTTTTTAGAAGTTACTGTTTTTAATTACCCCCTGCCTTGTATGGGTTATGTTTTGATAGAGAATATTGTCTTGAAACGTTTTGTAATCCTAGCATATATGTATTTTCATTAAAATGGATTACACCACATCCCAACTTCTACACCTCTATGCTAAAGAAAGCTGTATCTTACACATTCCCAATGTCTTGCAAATGAGAATGGCCGGCAACTCCAAAGAGGTCACACCCCCTTTTCAGACCAAAAATTTCATATAAAAGGTGTGACCTACTTGTATACTCTTAGAAACACGATCACTCTCAACAGATCAGTATCAAAACATGAGGAAATGTTTACTTACTGGCATGTGTTTTGAGGCTAACAATTTCTGTACTAGCTGGTGGACTCAGTCCAATGGAATTCTCAGCATATACCCGGAAGAATAACTTGGATTTTTCTTTCAAGTTCTCAATGCAGTGTTGAGTGACAGATGGTTCTAATGTAACCACCTTTGTCCATGTCTTCTCTGAGGGCAGTCTCATCTCAATAACATAACCTAAATAAACATAAACTATGTTATTCACAAAAGAAGAAAGAGATGTATTTGAATGGTGGCAGAAATCCCAAAATGTTCAAATTGTGAAGATGACTTATAACAAATTTTGCATGGTTAAATAAAGTGAATTCAGTCTGTTCAGTATTATGGATACTATCCATTGGGTTATAGGGGCTTTCCCCCCACCCCCAAATATAAAAAGCTGGAGCATGAAGCTTACCACTCACTTCCATTTAGTGCCAAGGTTAAGCATCCACAGAGCTGTACTTCCACATACTCATACATCTTCACAGTGAGGCGTTCAGTTAAGCATAGAGACAAATATACCTTTTTATTTCACAGTCCTACAACTGATAGAATTCTCTGGAAGCAATGCTTTGTTTCCAGTGCCCTCTGCTGTTGTTCGGCATTGAGGATGTATTAATAAGTTGACAAAATCTGCGATGGCAATATCAGAATGAAATATTAACACAACTGGATCAGTCTCTTGTGAATGGGAAACAGGGTCATTGAAGAGCACCATTTTATGGTAAATTTTGAATTAATAAATCAAGAACCAGGGTAACAAAAGAGGTTTGTGGACCAGTTATGTTGATGTACTGTCAACTAAAATGGTTGAACAGAAAATATAGATGCAGCTGAGGACCAAAAATAAAGATGCAGACATATGGAACAATTATCATTTTACAGTATATTCTCTGGCAGCTGACCTTGTTTGAGGAGTAAACCTGGGACAAATTTAGCTGACCACTGTTCATAAACAAAGAGCTCTATTATCTGGGATATAATGCCATGTAGTCTGCTGCAAGTCAACTGACATTTTGGAGGAATGTGTCATCTCCATTTTCAGGCTTGAAGAGTACGCCAAGCAAGAAACATTTTTCTACCTGCTTCATGCTAGTTTCACAGTTATTACCACACCATTAATAATTGTATCTTGTCTACGTGATGTAAGGGAAGTTACCTGTAAGCTCTGTTCCTCCTGTAGTCAGTGGAGGACCCCACTGGAGTGTTACACTTTTGCTTGTGATATCAGCTACCGATAAATTTGTTGGAGCTGAAGGGGAACCTACAGACAGGGAAATAGTTATCATAGTTTCACTGTGGTTAGTAACAATCTCAAAAGAAAGTGGAATTTGAAAACAACCCTAATTCCTCATACTTAATTGTTACTCATATGTTAACTGGTCATCTTTTTACAAAGAAACAAATGCTTCAATAGAATGCACTTTGAAGTTTCACAAGTCATTGTCACAAGAAACCAATGAACATTGCTGTTGATGCAGCACCTGGACATTAACATTTCACATCTGTGAGATTCAAATATGAAATTAGTGATGCTGAGGGAAAAGAACTGGTTAAATGAATTACAATATTATCAGCTGATCTGGGAGTTCAATAGCTAAAGCCATGCTTGTCATTTACCTGTCAATACGTATGTAAAACATGTGATTGACAAGAATTGAAGAATCTAACCATATTATCCAGGTTTGTTTTGACAGAATAGAAATAACTTCTGCTATTTAAAACAATATAGAATAAAAATAAAAATATTTGGTCAATATTAATCAAAGATTTCTTTCTAGAGTTATGCAGCCGTTCGCTCTGCTGGAAAGTTTGTCATAAAATGTAAGAGAAAGATTAAAACTGTCTTATAAAACCTGTCTAACTGTACATTGATTGTTCATATTCGAATCTTATGGGTTGTAACATTGTGTAGTTATATAGGTGGGTAACAAAATTTCAGAGAAACATGCTGCTTTCATCTTCAGGGTTGATCTTCAAGATGGAGGCAGGATATTTTTCTGTAAAGTTAGCATCTACCCACAAGACTTCCTAGTGTCATAACCCAAGAGATCACAATCTGAACAGTCACTACTGTGACTTACAGTATATTAATTTTTAATATTAATTTTTGTTGTCCTCTTTCCTAGGAATCACACTGTCTTATGTTTTTATAGTTCATTTACTCTAAAATATCATTTCAAATATATCCCTCTCCATCATTTGTCACATCTGTGTACATCTGACAACACTTGGGAAATAACAATGACTTCAAGACAACATGAAAACTGCTGATAAGGTGGACATTACACGTTGTTTCTAACAGGAAAATGAAGTACCACATAAAGAATGTACAAATGTATTTGTGAAGTGTCTGAGAGCTGGGAGAAGAAGTCCCTGAGAAGTGTAAAATGATATATAAAAAAACTTCTGGGAAGAATAGAATATGGCTTCTGCTATGTCAAACAAATTGAAAAGTATAAATAAATATTATAATATGCTTAGTTGATGTTACACATGTAAAACACTTTGAACAAAGCATTACAGTAAGAAGACTGCTCATGACATGAATGTCACAAGACAATGGACATGGATTTTCCCTATCTCTTAGGAGAATTCAGAACCAAATAAGGACAGTACAAGAACAAAGTATTTACAATATGACGACTGTTCATGACACAGACATCACAAGATGATGGATATATTTTTCTCTGCATGTTGGGAAAATTACATACCAAATAAGGAGAGTACAAACATTTAGAGATGGTGTGTCAGAGATATTATACAACTGCAAAGACATCATACAGTGGCATAGCACAGATATTTTATAACTCACTGACTTTAGTATTATATCATAATTTATCAATTTAATAAATTTTGCAATCAAAGTATGCTGGTTAACTACTAGTCTTTGACGTGGTACAGAAATCATGATTGCTGTAGGCCTGGAAGTGAATTTAATGCAGCGCCATATTTTGTGCACTACAACTGAACAATTTACCATACTTGTAGAATATCAGTGAAATCACAGGGAATTAAAAAGAATCATTACTTATGAGAATCTGTACAGTAATTCTTACAAGACAGGGAGGAGAAAATAATTCATGAACACTCTGTAGAAATCTTTCCTAGATTTAATTATAGTAAATGAGTGGGCATTTAATGACCCTTACATCATAACTATCCTCAATCCACTGTGCAACCCCTTTCTAAAATTTAACCCCCTAGCAATCCTGTACTTACAAATGGAGAGAGGTTTTTGTTTAATAAGGCCTTAGAATAGTCACATGGAAACCTTATTATAAACTGAGCAAAAGATTCATTTCTGATAGTAACTCTACCACATAGGTTATGTAGTGGTAATACATTACACTTAGTTTGGATCTCAGCTTGGATCTGGGTTATACTGACTTAAGGTTTTACATGATTTTCTTCAGCCTCTCTAGGTGAATAATTTAAGTAAGCTCTGACCATGCCCTTCCAAATTTTTACCTACTCACCATTCACAATTATATCTCATTAAATATTATTATACATCATCAAACATCCTAAAAACTGACAAATACTAGCTTCAGTTTCATTTTCTTATTCTGATTCTGTAACCTTTAGCGGTGGACAGGTGATCCACTGAAATGACACACTCTTCATATTCTTAAGTTAAAAAATTCCTCAGTTATTATTAATACTCCCCTGCTTACATGAATCAGCATTTGAAATATAAAATAAATCTGTGCTCTGCCACTTAAACAGCTGCCAATGCTTTTGTCAACAGAAAAGAGAGCTGCAACAAAGACACTAGGAACAATGAAAACAAACAACACAAGCTGATCATTGTGATGACAAAAGTCAGCAGCTACATTACATTACAACTGGAAATAAATAATGAAGTCCTTTTACATACAACATACACATCATTGCATACTCACGAGAACCAACTTTCAAAGCAGTGGGGTTAACCCCAAGGAATGCAAGCAATGCTTTCCCTACAGATGATTGAGAACGCTTCGTTCCTAAAGAAGCAACAGCAAATAAGAAAGGGAGAATATCATTGCAGAATAGCTCATGCAGGCTGGTTAGAGCAAAAGCACATATATGAATGAATGAATAAATAAACAAACACACGAAAATTAGAATAAATAATAAATATATTTCATTCTGTTAGGCAGCACTCTTAAAAATTGGGTCACCTGCATATATAAAGAACTTTTAATGAAGTTCATTTTCAGGGTGGCTTGATCTTTGGATGAACTTCATATTTAAGAGAATAAAATGTTTGTTGTACAAGTATTTGAACACTAAATAGTAAAATGTAACATTTTTCCATATCAGAACTGTAATCTATGGCTCAAATGCCCCATGTATACCAAACTAAACATCATAAGGGCCATCATAACAAATGTTAACAAAATCTGTTCGAGAGAACAGCACATCGTACATGAATACTGAGGTACAGACATACACACTGAACAGGTGGAACTGCATTTTTGTAAAATTGTCTAACAACAAGGTATACATTTGTGACAATCCCTTAATTCTGAAAATGAACTTCATATTAATTTTGAAAAAATACATGGCAATCCCAGCAAAACAACTAGTTTTATAAAAACATTTAAAATGATCAGAATTATCCTTAGACTGATGGACTTGAAACATATGTATTCATGAAAGAATTACCTTTATATTTAATTCATAGATCATTACATTTCTTGCAATTCATGCATGAAAATCCGGTATAAAATAATTTTTGTCTCTCAACTAAGCAGAAAAAATAACTTTAAAATACATATGTGACATACAAGAGAAGTGGCAGGTGCTAATGTATTATTTCTGCTTCTAGTTCAATGTCTAGATTTTTCCAGAAGTGTTATCAAGACCACAGCAATGAATTATGAGTAAATGCAAATTGAGATCTGCTATTTGTATGTTGGTTTATATTACAACACTGTGCCAGGGTATAAGGCTTAAGAATGTAGTAAGTACAACTTCTTTATTAAAACCGTCACAACACAACTATATCAAAGGTCAGTGCCTAGTTTTGGCTATTAATAGCCATCATCAGGCAAATCCATGGCTAACATATATACACCACTGAGCTGCAGTACTAGTAAAATTGGATACCATAATATTAATTATATAAAATACTTAACATAAAAATACAATAAATTAGATTATATAAAACAAAACAGGATGCATGAAATGAAAATTACAAATGTAGTAAGTACCAATGAGTTATGAATTAGTATAAACCAGGATCTGCTGTCTGTTTGTTGGTTTATGTAGGACAGCTTCTCTGACTTCCAAGCTGACGGCAGTAAAGGTTTATGAACTAATGTAAATTAGGATGTTATCTGCCAGTCACTTCTTACAGCAGTACTAGCCCATGAGCATGGTTCAACACAGATGGTACATCTGGCATTTAATGGCTATCTATGATTTAACATATACCACATGTTTGGCTGTAAACCTAATTTCCCTGGTTTGTAAGTAAGGAATGACAAACTTGAGCATGACTGGAATTGCATTAACCTGTTATGAAATGAATGAACTTTCTGTTCATGTATCAATAACCCTGTATTTCCTGCAGCTGAGCTTGAAAGCTTCAACAAGTACAAATTTTTAATTGAGTTTTAGATGACGAAAATATCTGTGAATTTAGTTTCTATTTTGACAGTGACTATAAACAACTGCTGATTCTAGGAACCCATGTGATTAGTAACAGTGACAGTGATAATGGCAGTGATGAACAAGAAGAAGAAAACATATGTGAAGGATTATGAAGGGTGTCAGTAAGTGTGTGGCAAACTATAGGCTCATTTCCTGCTTTACAAGAACCTAGAGATACTTTCTCCAGTGTGCAATGTATGATTATTGTGCTTACAAATCATTCAGAAGATTTAAAGAACAAAACACATCAAGTGTAACTACTGTAATAATGAAAATAACTTTTTTTTTGCCTTAAACGTTTTGGCCATTAGTGGCCACCATCATGGGGTAAGCAAACATTATTAAAGAAGTATTCAACATACATTGTTTTTCAGCATAAGTTATTATAATATAACTGATGGGGCTTATAATAATTGTGAGTATTAAGACCAAATATTTAAAATTAATTAAATTAAGTTGAAAAGTCATGTCTAGATGACAGAAGATGATGTAGCGATGACCATCATAATTGCTTTTAGTGCTAACTGCACAGAATTGTATTGATTCTTATAGCGTAGTCAATGCATCTGTCTGTATAGTGGTGTTGTGCATGTTCTGAGAGAGTTGGTGATAGTGTTTATAATTCTGTGCTTCAGAATAATTTGGAGAAACAGCAATGAAGACACAAAGTTAATTAGAAACAATCTTCACACAAAGCATGACTGAAAGTGTCAGTAACATAAAAAATTCTGTAGTAACAATTTTAAAACTGATACATAACATTACACATGAAAGCATAATATTTTCTTCCACTTGTAAGTTAAAGAAACAATAGAACATTCTACAGATGGGTTATGTAGTAAAATAGTAAAATTATACTCACTTATTCTTTTGCCAGCTGTGATTGGCTCTTCAGGGGCATAAGGAAGACTCTGACCAATGTCATTTCTTGCAGTGACTCGGAAATGATATGAAGTGCTAGCTTTCAGTCCTGTCACTTCAATGGCAGTTTCTTCTGCTGTTGTGACGCCCACCTGCAATGGAATGATGTTTTAACAGATCTCATTAGGGCGGCATGGGCTCATTATACAGTGATGTCTGATGGATTGATTGTGGTCAGTTTATTAAGTGAAGTAGTAGAAATGATGTGGAAGTAAGTGTTCGTGGCCTATTCTAACATGCTATTCCTGTACCCTTCTATGGGTATTATGGAAAACAATGAAACCTCAAACAAAACAACATGCCTCTGGGCTGATAACTTGTTTTGGGGGTCCTCGGAATATAAAGTAAAAATGCTAACCAATCATTGTGACAGTGATCAACAGTGTTTATGAACCCGGACAATGACTGAGACTTTACAATGACACTATGTCTAAAACCCAAAGAGTGGGGACCTTAGAGACTGAACTAAGTCTGAAGTTGATTAAGGCCACTTGAACTCTAAAAGTTTTCAGTGATTACACTAATTATTATTTATGCACAGAAGATATTGTATTCGGTATAACTATATAGTTTCAGATATATGTATGGGTAGAATATTGACATAGCAAAGAGAAAAAAATCTGACAATTGTTGTCAAGAATTCATAGCTATGATGCATAAACCGGGAATTCTGAAACAAATCAGAGTGATGATTCATACTGCAATGTGATCATACAGTTATCAGTTCACTGTTACTTGGCAACTTGTGTAAATATGCTATCTCTAACTATTGTTGGACACTATTGTTCCATTTTCTATTCTAAAGAAAGAGAGGCTTGTTGCATGATGTCTGCATACCTATATATCTCCCACTAACAACTTTTGAATCAAGTGATGGATGTTCATGAACCTTTCATATGAATATCATGGCACTGTAGACTATCCCACATCCATACTTTTCAATTGGCTGTTATCAATAATATTTATATGGTGACCACACAACCTTCCAAGATGTGAACAGCACTAATGCCAATTAATTTAAAGACCTAAAAATTCTATGCAGTAAAGTACCTAAAAATTAATGTAAAATTACATGGTACCTATGTGAAATCTATGAGCTAGGTGTGTGAAGTTTGTTGTACAGATACATCATAAATGTACCCAAAATGATGTACTAAATTTCCTTTATTATACAGGTTTGTCCGAAAAGTAATGTCAGTGAGTCGATTAAAAAATATTTATTGATTAGATCGGTACAACACATTAAAAGAATTCAAAATAGGCTCCTTCTGCGTCGATACATCGCTTCCAGTGAGATTTCCAGGCATCGAAGGAGTCATTGTAGGCCTCCTCCAGAATGTCCTTTAGAGCCTTGGTGCAAGCCTCTTTGACTTCATCAACTGTCTCAAAATGATGTCCTTTCATCGGAGTTTTCAAGCGCGGAAACAAAAAGAAGTCTGGGGGAGCCACGTCAGGACTGTAGGGCGGCTTGGGAACCGTTGGCACCTTTGAATCAGTCAGGAAGTGGGTCACGAGGAAGGTGGTGTGGGCTGATGCATTGTAATGGTGAAGTTTCCAATCGTCTGCGATGTCGGGCCGGATGCGATAAACCCTTTGTTTGAGTCTCTTTAGCACTTCCACGTAGAATTTGGCGTTGATGGTTCTACCACGTGGTACAAACTCATGGTGGACGAGCCCCCTGATGTCAAAGAACACAATGAGCATGACCTTAACCTTTGACGTGCTCATTCTGGCCTTCTTGGGGCGAGGGGATGCCGAGGTGTGCCACTCGGCACTTTGCCTTTTTTGTTTCGGGGTCGTACTCAAACACCCAAGTCTCGTCACCTGTGATGACATCGTCTAAAAAGTGAAGGTCACTTTCACACAAGTCCAAAAGTTCTTGGCACGTTTCAACTCTGCGCGATTTTTGGTCGTCCGTTAACACTTTGGGCACCAGCTTTGCACACACTTTTTGCATAAGCAAATTGTTCATCACAATCTCGTGAACGGTACTTTTTGGAATGTTTAATGTCTGTGCCATTAAACGAACACTCAAACGACGGTCTAAGTTCAAAAGTTCTCTCATACGCATCACATTTTTGTCGGTGGTGCTTGTTGATGGCCATCCAGCACGGGCTTCATCACCGACCTTTTCAGGGCCTTCTAAAAAGGTCTTGTGCCACCGGTAGACCTGACGTTTCGACAAACAATCATCACCGAAGGCCGTCTTTATCATGGGAAAAGTTTCCACTGCAGACTTGCCAAGTTTCACACAAAACTTGATGGCAATCCTTTGTTCCAAGGAGCGCTGCATTGCGGCTTGCATGGGAGACAAAAATGAGTTTCACGGAAAAGTCTTTCATCACTCTCAGGAAGTTTGGAGACGACTAAGCGACCGCGCGTTCATAAGCTGACTTCCCCCTCCACCGATCCCAACCGGTCTGAGCACACTGCGACATATAGTCACTTCACAATAAAATCACTGACATTACTTTTCGGACAAACCCTGTATGTTAAAAATTACAAATATAATCAAAGAGTAAAATTTTGAGGTTGCACATGATAACTTTCATATTGTAGGCATCTGCATTATTGGATATTATGCACAGACATAAGGTGTGAGTGTTAACACAAAGATTAAATTTATTTCATATGCTGCCTGCAATTATTTATGGCAGGCACTGAATAAAAATGTTTTGGACATAAAAATAATTTTGCAGAAAGTACTGCATACTACAGTATGAAATATACTTACTTACTCATGGAGCTGAGCCCTTCTGGAGGAGCAGCCAATTCTGCAGCTACTCAAGAATTCCCCAGCATTTTATGGAACCCGAAGGTTCATCACTGTGTTCACAAGAGCCCTCCACTGGTCCTTATCCTGAGCCAGATCTATCCAATCCATACCATCCCATCCTATCTCTCTAAAATCCATTATAATATTGTCCACCCACCTACGCCTTGGTCTTTCATGTGGTCTCTTTCCTTCTGGCTTTCCCACCAATATCCTATACGCATTCCTCATCTCCCCCATTCGTGCTACATGACCTGCCCACCTCATCCTCCTTGACTTGATCATTCTACACTATGAAATATGAAGTACAAAATTCCAGTTGAATCTATTTAGCTTTTTCATAAGTTATGTTTGATTTCTTCCCAAACCAATTTTCAAGTTTATAGAACCACAGAAGAATAAAAATTCGTAGTTATTAAATATACTGGTTTTCTTACAGCAAGAAAATAAGAAACCATGTTAATTGATTTATTTACCAAATAAAGGTTATTATGTCATTAAAACTCTGCATCCTACAGGTTACTGTAGTCATGGCAAATGTTGGTTTGCCATGCCCTCGAGATTGTGTAGTTTATAAAGGACACATTATCTGTTTCATATGTATTTCTCTTCATAAAGTTTTTCAAAATCTCATATTTATACACAGTGAATTTTGTCTCAATCCATATCAAGTTGTAAGAATATATTTTTACTGTTCTTTACAACACAGAGGTTACAATAGAACAATCATGTACCTTCTGCCAAGCTTTCTTGTTAACTTCCCTTCTCTCCACAATATAATCAAGAATGGGAGATCCACCATCAGTCTCTGGGGATTGCCAGGCCAGTGTGAAGGAAGTGTCAGACATACCAGATACATCAAATGGCCCACGTGGTGGTGATGGTTTGTCTGGAAAAAGAAATGACATATAATTTATTTATTTTCATATTAATCCAATCTTATTGTCTCTTTGCTCAGTAATACTGTAAGCTTGTTGTCTACATGAGAATTCTTCTACAGTAATGTTATTTTAGAAGAAAAGTTAATGTGGGCTCTATGTTTTATATACATATTATAGAATTAATTAATTACAGTAATCCCACATGTGATAAAATAAATATTGAAGCCCTATCAGATATAATCAGGGAATAACAGATGCTAAAATCAAACTTATTTTTTTTCTTCCAATTTAGCCCACTGTCCTACTCAGATTGCAAGACCTCCTGTACTACACAGTTTCTGCTGTCAATGCTATATTTAGATGAAGTCAAATTTGTTTTTCCAAAAAGTATTTGTTGGTATTCAAAGTTCAATTTTATTGTCAAGGCTGAAACATTACACTGGCAAATGTTTGTTTTTGACAAGTTTGCTGGTATGCACCAAGTGTTTGCCAATATGCATATCTGCTGCAGGAAAAGCACAGGATAAAGTAAATTTATAATCTGTTTGTTGCCCATGGGCTGACATGCTGGACTCATGTGCAAATGGACATATAACTGCTTCCTAGTTAAGTTGTTATTTTTATATGTCTGCAATTTCACATATCCTACTGATGATGATGATGATGATGATCATCATCATCATCATCTTTTGGAAAACTTATTATTGGAATCAAGATTTGGCATACATTAAATTGGTCAGACATCATAACATTGAAGATTCATACTCTAATTACATTTGTAATTGCTGATAAGAAAACAATTCATGCACCATTTGTAGATGTGTTTTTTATTATCTCCATGCCAGATTTTACATGCTTGTCCAAACAGTTCATTAGTTATCACTAACAAATGGACAGCTAAATATGCATTTCATGTAGGTGTCATTTTGTTTTTCTTTTACATTCTACAAAAGAAAGTGTCTTAAAAATGCTGCATATTGTTTTGAATATGTGTTATCACAATTTCAAGACACTAGATTAAATTATATTAGTGATGCTTCTGCCTCACAAATTCTTGCACTCACCATGTTGTTATTACTGACTGTAGGGAAATAAAAATTATGAAAAAACATCATGGTGAGCTTGTTAAACCTATCTTTTCTCTAGGACACTGAATGTTACCATACTGTACAATATTAGGTGCACCAAACTGTCACAAAAAAGAAACAGCGGCAGTTGTGAGACCTCCACAAAGATCATTATGAGAGGTCTAAATGATAGAACTCACCAAACTTGCTGCGAACTGTAACTGTTTCACTCTCCAATGCTTCAGACATTCCGACAGGATTCTCAGCAATCACGCGGAACATGTATTCTGAGTCTTCACGCAAGCGTTGCACACAGTATGAAGATACATCTTTCTCAACATCAGCAACCTGATGAAACAGAATAGAATTTTGATGTACAACCAAGTCTTTGAATTGTGACGTTTAAAACTGATCTTAAAAGGTTAAGTAAAGAATCCGTAGTAACTGAACTGAATGAGAGGGTTCACATACACTAAAGCCCAGAAATTCTCATACATAGATTTGCCCTGGTTGCAGTAAAGAAGATTTTTTTTTTCCTTGGCACTACAGCCAAGTGGGCCTAGGCCTACCTCCACGAACTTCTCCGATTAAAGAAGATTGGATGTCTTTAATTCTCGCTGTAGTGTTGAAACAGCCATGAAACAAGCTGGTTAGGCTTGTTTTGTAAGTGTCTATGTTTATGATTATAAACAGTATTAAGAAACTTTCAATAAATTAAACAAGTAAAACATCAAGAAGATATAACACTTAAGAAAATAGAAGCATTTCACTAATGTTTTGGAACAGAGGTCATCTTGAGAAGCCAAGGGTTGCTCAGGTAGTCAAGAAATTCTTTGCATGTTATGGAACCTGAAGGATTGTAATTGAATTCACAGAAGCCTATCACTGATCCCTATCCTTAACCAAATAGATTCAATCCACACCCTCACACTATATTCTTTAAGGCTCATTTTAATATTATCCTTCCTGCCTAGGTCTTCCAAGTGATTTCTTCCTTTTAGTTTTTCCAGCTAAAACTGTGAATGAATTGTTCATATCTCCCATTTGTGCTATGTACTCCACTCATCTTATCCTTGTCAATATAATAATTTTAATAATATGTGTATTTAGTGACATGACCAAATATTTTCCTTAGCATCCTGTTCCTGAACACCCACAAATATATTTTTTATGCAGGGCAGGAGACCAAGTTTTGTGCCCATATAAAAACAGGCAAAATGATAGTTCTGCATATTAATATTATATTCCTTATATTTTTTGGGTAGGAGACGGAAGAAAAATATTTGAACTGAATGGTGCAAAACATTTCCAAGTTTAATCTGCTCTTTAATATTTTTGTGAATGTACTTTTTAATTTCTACCATTGTTCCCAAAGATCTGATCTTTGTCATATTTCGAAGGACTTGTTTTTATTCAATTATTTTGTCCTGCATTCTGGTGAAGAGACAGAAGCATAGTTTTCTTAGCATAGAACTACTTCCTTATTAGCATAAAAGTAAGTTAATATTAGTTAATATTATCAACACAGTCAAAAACTGAAGTGTTTCATTCACTTTTAATCACTCCAGACTTTTCTTTATGTTCTTAAGGGTATATGCTAAATCAAAGTTGAAAAACTATGGAAATAAAGCATCTTCTTTCAGACCAATCTGGATGGGAAATACAGCAGACAAATTTTCGTATACAGACTTTACTATAGGTTTCACTTAAACTATCTCTAATCAGCCCAACTAATTTCGTGGGAAACATGAAATTCAACGAAAGTTTTATACAATACTTCAGTCTTAACTAAGTCATAGGCTTTCTTTAAGACTATGCATTACTGATGTATTGTGTCATTCACTCATTTACTTTCTCCAGTATTTTGCAAATGCAGAATATCTGATCAAATGTTGATCCAACGTTCTTACGTACTCGGGCACAATTCACTTATGCCTATGGAGGTGCGGGCGCCACCACACACTACTACTACTACTACTACTACTACTACTACTACTACTACTACTACTACTAATAATAATAATAATAATAATAATAATAAAATTTTTCGAAAATATTTAACAGTACTCAGACATTCAAAAATGTCTCTTGTTTTACAATTTGAATTAATATTAAAAATCGGCTCAATTATATTTGGTTATGGAGGGCGCCAGAAAAATATGCCATGGCGCCCGTGGGCGCTGCGTTGGACAGGGCTGATCTAGTGCATTAAAATTACACTGATGACACCAAGACTGGGAGTATGTTATATGTGTCTACATGGGTCAAGAAAGTAAAAATTCTAGGATGACACATTGTTTCTTTCTAGAATCATTAGCCTGTGCAGTATTTTTTTTTAAATTTATGCTCTGTAAAGCAACAGAATTTAATCAAAACAGAGAGCTTTTTCTTGGGGGGGGGGATAGTAACATCTCACATTTACATGGTTATCTTACAGACTCCTCTCTTTCTTTCAAAGAATATATAATATTGCTAGATCAAAAATTAAAATGGGCTGTGCTTGCTTCCTCCAGTGTTCCACAGTCAGATACTTTGAATTTATTTTTTGGCTCAGAATACTCACCCCACTGTACAATCAGATGATAACTGTATATAACACTGACATAATCATGACAATATTTGCTAAGAGGAAGTATTTTTAAAATCATCCACCTTGTATCTGAATCAGCATGAGGTATAATAAATAAGTATAATGTGGCATACAATGCAGAAAAACTGGAATATGATAAAAAGACCATGAAGTTCTGAAGGTACTATCATAAATAATGACAGGAAACTTCATATGGCAGTGAGAGTGTGAAGTATTGCTATACTGGAGAAAACATACACAGTATTTGTAAAATTATATCTACCTTCATCCACACCATCTTTTCAACATCACATTTTTCAACAGAATACTTTGACAGCTCAAGGCCACCATCATCAGCAGGAGGTTTCCATTCAATGGTTACTGACTCTTTACGTATGTCCTTCACAACTATTGGACCTTCAGGTTTACTGGGTTTATCTGAAAGTTCAAAATTATTTTACTTGATTAAAACCTAAAAATGGTATGTCATGAAGTATTATACATACAATTCACCCTTATGTTAGGGGTATGCTGTACCTATATTTCTGCCTTCAACAACTGAAACAAACAATGAAAACTAAAATTACAACTTTTATTTGTGTGTGTGTGTGTATTTAAGACTTAGTTTTGTGTGATCAGAAATATTTCCTCCATCATAATTTTACTTGAATAATGGGGCATGTCCTTAGTTAAAAAAAAAATTGACTTTAGAGTTTTTGTGCCATCTAAGTGCAACCTCATTCACTATTCTTTCTTTGTATTTCTTTATGAGACACTACATGTTTCGGTCTAACTGTCCATCCTCAAATGTACAGGTTGTTATGATTAAGGAATCTGCTGCTCAGTGTAATGTGGTTTTCTTCGAATAAAGGAACACAAAGAAAGAATAGTGAGTGACGTTATACTTAGATGGCACAAAAACTTCTAAGTCAGATCTATACAGTGCAATAGGATGCTGAAATATAACATTTTAAAAAACTGTCCAGCATTTTAAAATGCAGGGTACTGCAGTCCATTCATGCATTACTTCTAGCTCTCAACTTGTATTTGTTTTGAGATAATGGTGAAGAAGTAACCAATATTACAGTCACTAAGTTTTCATTAAATATATAGTATATGAAAAATCTTTATAGATTGCAGACAGACATAAACTAATCTTGTGAATTTATTAGTACCAACATTTCAGTTTGTTTGCTTCTCAGCAGCAACACATATCATAACACTCTAATATTAAAGCAGACATGTTAGTTTTACCAACACCATTAGCATAACAAACCATTTTCATCAAAGAAATTAGAATCAAGAATAATATGTAGCAGGCTGATATTCATCTGAGAAAATTGTTAACACTTTATAGACCAACAGAAAATTGGTCTTAACAAGGCAATGCAGCACTATTCAACTGAAGAGGGCCACTTCTACCTCTGCTGTCCTTAGCAAACGTTTAAGGACTGCAATTAATCCTCCTTCATTAACAATCAAGGAGCATTTGTGTTTCTCAGTTACTAATGTTAAAGGCATTGGTTGTTAAATTGAACTCTTTATTATTAATTTGATCTCTCACTTAACCACCACATAATTAATAGTGAAAGCAAAATACTAAGTCTCCTTGTATATATAGAAACATGGAAGACTGAGCATCCTCCATTTTGACTGAAGGTTCAGAATGTTTTGCAATAGCTGTATCAGACTTACAGTTGACATGTCTGAATTTAGGTGTCAGTTTTTGAAATTATACACAAATAATTCCATTGATTTAATAAAAGGCATGCACTTGGCATAATGACGAATCCAAGCAAAAGCTGAGGAATAATGTATTCCTCTATGTTAGTACTGAAAATGGGCTATGTAACAAAAGTTAAGAAATAAAAAACAAACTCCGTGATTTTAGTCCACAAGCAAATTATACCGACCGAGTGATGTCACTTGTCGGCAAAGTTTAGTGCCAACAGAAATACTTTAAATGAAATTAACTTTAATGGCTTATGATATCTGATAGAGCAATAGTTCAGACTGTGCAGTTATTTGTATATGGGAATATCTATTCAAGAACGCATAATAACAGATATAATAACTTGCTATGTTGGTTATTCAATAGAAGTATTGCAGTATTGTACAGTAATAATTTCATACTCATGCAGTTGAATAACTGGAATGGTTTGTTGCAGTAATATAACACATTGCCCTGCGGCTAAGAGTGTATTTACCTGAGCATATAACAAAAGAGTGATCTGAATAAAGTTATCTTCTCAAAACATACAAATTCCATGTACTTTTGGAACATATCTACAGTATCATATGTTTTCCTTTATTTTACATATGGGGTTGGAAATACTGGTGTACAAAGATACTGGAATTGTAGCAATTATGCAATTCATTTCTTTTTTGCCTTTTGTCATAAAGAATTTCGTTTTTCATTAAATCTGGCCAGGAAAACACATTAATATTTGTTTCCCTAAATTCTTCAGGAGAAGAGATATAAATCCATGACCTCTTGTCATCTGACTCATTATGTAGGCCTACTTGCTATCACTCTCTGTGCCAAACCACCACAAAAGCTAATCAGGTATAACAAACAGTTTCAATGGACAGACATAAAGAAACCATACATCACATATAAATGTTATAAAGGATTTTGGTTGAGATAATTTTCATGATGGGTCAAAACAAATACAGACAGAAATTACCAAAGGACAATTGAAATTATTTCAGTAGCAAATATTCTTCTTGCATACCTCCACCAACGAAAATGAAAGGCTGACTAGATACCCCATACCAGATGCAGCAATAAGGAAATGATGGAACTTAGCAAATTCATGGCCTTCACTGACTTGAGTCAGATTGGGGATATATGTAAAGACTTGAGAGACATGCTAGAGGGCTGGCAAAATTGCAAGCACAGAGCAATGAAGTTTTTAAGATGCAATATGAGTAACCTCACAGTAATCTATAATGTAGGACCCATGCCTGTGTTTGCTCTCTGTAGCTCTACCCATTCCTGAAAATTTGCATTAAAATGCAGACCTTTCTTTGTTTAGAACATTTATCTGCTTTTATGGAGATTTGCAAGCTACCTAGCTAAGATGCATGAGCAATTGTCCACTTTTCAGGTGTCTACAACATGCACTGACATTTTGAGCTTGGAATCACCAGGAGGAACTGGAGCTGAACTGCCATATTTACAACAGATACAGAAAACAGTAGGTGTCATTATGTAATGTACCCTCACCATGGCAAGCCGATATCTAGGATTTGTCAAGTCATGCTTTGAAAGACATGTTATCTTACATTCCAGACAACCAGCATTTTTACAGCAAACACACCCAAGAACTATAATGATTTTAAACAAATTTTTATTTTTTTATAAGTTGAAAATATCTATATATTACATATGGCAACATAAACTGTGAAGTCAGCTAGTTTAATATTGTGGTGTATTTGCTCAAAGAGGAACTGTGGAGCCATAAGATACAGTCGTTGATAGGCAACCGTTGTGTAGGCAAGAAATAATACCAGAGTCATCACTAAGCAACATATACATGTAACAATGGAGGAACTGTCAGAAGTGGTGTTTTCTACAAGATCCATTCTGAGGCTATATTGTGAGGGCCAGGTGCCATTATGAGATAATAGTGGCATGGCTTTGAAGCTAGTGGAAAATTGACAACTGAAGTCAGAGGTTGGCAGTTGCAAGTCAGTCAAACCTGGGAGCTAGCAGCTCAAGGAAGTACTGGCTGAAGCCAGCAGATTGAGATGGTCATCACACTGCAAGGACGTGAGCTTGGAAGCAGAGAAATGCCTGTTGTTGGAAGCCGCTATTGAGCAACGTGACTGAGAACACTTTCTGTGATAATGATTTTTGAAGTGTAGTCATGAACTGTAAAAGTATTGAATAAATCCAGTTATCTATCCAAAACCTGTCCATCATCACTAGAAAGCGTGACAACTAGTGTCAGAAGTGGAACAATTGGACTGAAGACTGCAGTGGTTAGTTGTATCACCAGCCTACAAAAATGGAAGAAATTACAGAAACAATGATAGATCGTCTGCTAGCCATTATGGCTGATATAATAGCCAGCCAAGGCTGGACAATAGCTAAGATGGATGCCTAGCTAGAAGAGATGAAGGCCTGCTGAGAAGGGGCGAAGGCCTGTCTGGCGCACCCTGAGGACTCCAATGGAGTGATGCATGAGAAGATGATCAGGACACCTGAGGACCGATCCAGGGACAGTTGTCTGGCTGTAAGGCGGCATGGACAGTAAAAAAAAAATGGACACAGGGTGATGGTGAGTCCCAGAAGAATTTGGCCGTCTTCCATGGATGGTAGATCCGCTGTGCCGTTCCTGCATTGCTCAAGGGATGTGGTCATAGTGAACCCAGCAAGAACATCAGAGGATGAAGCAGGCGAGAGGAGCCATGTCTGGGAAACAAGGAAACATTCTATGTGGCCCTAGTTGGAAGTAAGCCCAGCCTGGGAGCTAGCAGCTGAAGCCAGCAGTCAGAGTATGAGGTTGGAGTGAAGTGGTCACTACCCTGCAAGGATGTGAGCCAGAAAGTAGAAGAATGTCCACCACTGGAAACCACTACCAAGTAATGAGACTGGGAACAACAGTTTGTGTGTGATGGTGATCTGTAAAGTGCAGTCACAAACTGTAAGTGTCCAATAAACCCAGTCCAGTTCCCAATTCAAAACATGTCTGCCGTTACTTGAGTATGTGAAAATGTGTATATTAAATTTAGGAATGTGAATTATGGAACACTTATAAAATCAATGTAAAATGAACTAAAATACCATTGCAACTAATTTATTTTAATAGGCTGTATGACTAAAAGATAATGTGCATATGAAACACTTGTACACACATACTTCAGTACAAATCATTACTCTCATAAGAAAATACAAAGAATGAAGGGTATACTAACAGAAGATAATTATAAGTCATAGGACTCCAGAAAACACAGATGAGTTAAAAGTTTGTAATTTGTGCAACATGACAATATATGCAGTAGTAACTGTTACATGCAAGAGTGCAGAAAGGATATAAAAGTGTTTCAGAACAATTTTAATGACAATGATTTGAGTGTTATAGTGCCACATTGGTGCATTTATATTGAAAGAACTGTCCCAGAGTTTATTATTGAGCGTAATATCTTTGCCATTTTTTATGCAAGTGCAGTGAATGAAGGGGAGAAAACGAGAAGCTTCATCAGTAATGTATTGTTAAGCTAAAGACCTTGTTGCCTTGCGATGAGCTGATCACCCATCAAAGGAGTCCTACCATCTGTAAAATTGATCAGGAAACTGAGAAATCAGTCCTATGCTCCAAAGTGGGAGCAAAAGGAGAGATAGAGAAAAAAAGACCATGTTATGAATTGTCAAGCTCTTTGTTCTGAAAAACTACAAAGAATATGAATCTTACTGTGAGATATAAGGCCTTCAAGGTTGTGACTCTGAAGATTGCTATATCCTGGGATGTTATCAAATTACATGGCATCATATCCAAGAAGAGAGTAATCATCAGGAGTCTTATTGGTTTACTTATAAATATACTATTGCACTAGATTATATCAACAAAGTCTTTAAATGTCAATCCAAGCATGTTCTCAGCCTATCAGCACTTCTCACATCAAGTGAACTCCTCAATATCTCCAGCAGCTCACATTATTCAATCTAAAGTTTGTTTTAGGGTACTATTAATATATATTATATACAAAATTTCTCCCTGCATTACTGTCTTTGTTTTTTCTTTCCGCTTCTTTTTATCCATGGTAAAGAAAAGAATGCCAACAAGATTCCAGTCTGTTTCTACCATGACACCGCAGACAGTTGTTCTGACAGACTATAATACTGTAAAATTTAAAAAACTTTTAGCAGCTATAATGGTTAGGGTGCTGAATTAATAAATATAACTACTGAAAGCAGGGAAAATTAAATACAATCATAAGACTGAATGTATTGCTTTGCAGTAAACTTGACATTCTTTATGGTGCAATAGGGAAAGAAAGAGAAGGTAAGACTTGCAATTATGAAAGTACTTGGTGACTTCAGATAAACGAAAATGCAAGAAGATAGTTCCAGATCTTCTTGAAAGGAGTTGACATTCTGGTTTATCGTGTCTCAACTTTGAGTGGTGAATCCGGAGTGTCTGTTACTATGTTATAACTGAGGACTATTTCACTTAACATGGGCTGTTTTTCACTGTTATATATGACAAATTATCATGGCTTTAGTCTACATAATAACCAGCCATTAATGCAAGTTTGATGCAAGTAGATGATTTTTTCTAATGACTGTAATGCAAGGGATTCTATAAAATTATTTGTTCAGAAAACTGTGGAGAATTACAAAATAAAACGAGTCTTGAAATTCAATTTGCTGCTTCATCAATGAAGTAATTCCATATGTTGTCTCAGGACAGTTCCTTCAGTTATGAGTTTCATGCAGACTGGGGAATAGGAAAAAAGAACTCAGTCTCTATTGAGTTGTGTGTGGTACATGTTTTAGATATATATAAGTCATACACCCCAAACCACAGGAGACAAGTATTTACCGATCAGTTCCTTAGTTGGAGACACCGTTTTACTTCTGCGACCAGTATCATCTAGAGAGAGAGTTTATTGAAGATTTTCTTATTAATTTACCTCCAATGATTTTATATTAGTTTTAGGTTACTTTCATCGAGAATTTTAAAACTGTTAGTTCCTTATGATTTATATGACAGAGTATTACATAACAATATATTTTAGGTGAACATTTAAGTGAATAAGTGCAGACTTATAGATGATACTATATTAGAATACATTTTAATATTTTGTAACATATATAGGAAAACAGATTATGCAGACTATGGGCTTCAATTACCAGCATTATAAGTTTTGGTTTATAGGTTCTCACAGGAATGTTTAACGTGTAATTAAAATATTAAAGTGAACAGAACTAGTATTCAAATTTGTAGTAAATAACTGAATCTATTGCTTGTGACACTGTCTTTTTATTTTATATAGTAAAAGAGCTATACTGTCAAGCCTGACTGCATTAATGAATTTAATATTCTGCAGTCATTCAATCAGTCTAATCAGGCCCATTAGTTCGAATATGTACCAGGTCATCAATGACCTGGGATAGCTTAGTCAGTCAGTGTGTGTGTGTGTGTGTGTGTGTGTCTATGGGTTGGATGACTGGAGTTTGATTCCTGGGAGAGGCAGGATTTTTCTCTTCAATCATCATATCTAGATCAGATCTGAAGCCCACCCAGCCCCTGGTCTAATGAATACCACCTACACTTTCCCAGGTCATAAAGCGGCCACAGCATGAAACTGACCACTCACCTTCTCCCACCAATATTAAGAATATTGTTTCACCCTACCTGAATTACTTTAATGGAAAGTTTACCACTGTGTATAAAAAGTTATTCTCTTTTATGCATGCTATTTATTGCCCCATCAATTTAATAAAGTGAAACAGAGAAAATATGCATTCCCTATGAGTGCTTGCAACTATATTAAGATGTAATAAAACAATACAAAATTTAAATGATAATTTCGGTTGTTTTCTCTTTTGCATCTAACGGTAACATTTTACTACTCTTGATGCAATATTTCTAAAAAACTTGCTTAAACCTGACAGAGGAACGGTAAGATGAATGATAGCTTGGAATTAGTTATGTTAGTTTTCTATTATCTGTGTACACATAAGTCTCTTTTTTTTCTTTCTTTCTTTCTTTCTTTCTTTTTTTATTGCTAGTGGGGTGGGTTAAGTCCCTTGTACTGCAGCCACTTCTGGCCTATTGCACCAGCCCCAGATGATAGGTGAGGGTGATTGTGGAGCAATTGATGGAATGAAGATTGGCAGGGGAAACCGAAGTACTCAGAGAAAACCTGCCCCAGCGCCACTTTGTCCACCACCAATCCCACTTGACCAGACCCGGGATCGAACCCGGGCCGCCGCGGTGGGAGGCCAGCGACTAACCGCTTGAGCTATGATGCGGCCACTGCATAAACCTCTTTCTGACTGTAATAAGAACATATTATAATGTACATTTCCACTGTAATCAATTTGTTCTTATACTGCATACCCATAAAACATACTTATACTAAAAAGTGGAAGGAAAGAAAATATGTTCCAACAGACAAATTAAAACAAAGGTATAGTTTCTGTTGGCCCATACCATGTTAATTTGCATTTTACCATAATCTAATTAATAAAGGCAATTATTTTGATAACATTATGTTACAACTGAACTGATCAAATATAATCAATATATTAAGTTATAATTATATTAAAATAGCATGTATGGTAATTGACATAAAATAAAAATTAATACAAAATATACAGAATAGTGTCATATACTACAGTTGAAAATTTGTCTGCATAATCTTTCCTTATATGTAATATTTAGTGTATTTCTTATCAGCTACTTTTAATACTGCACTCTGAATTACATTCTGTTCATATCAGGTACTTAATTGTATTAGGTAATGTACGTACCTATAACACGCAGGCTGAGATCCACACTGACGGAACCTGCTTCATTCTTTGCAGTGACAGTGTAAGTCCCTGAGTCTTCCCTAGTCAGAGAATAGATGGCAATAGTTGTTAAATTTTCTTCTGTGTAGATGTCACAATGCTTTGTGGATGGTAAGTCATTGCCATTCTTTTTCCAGAACACTTCAGGCTTAGGATATCCTGAATACTTCACATTAATCTTCCACTGGCTTGTTACACGCAGCTTTTGTGATACTACACTATCATCTACCTCAAGTTTAGGAAGTTCTGGAGAGAATAAAGAAGAGTGATGATACATCAGTGTCATAATATGGGCTTACATAAGAATTAAGAATTCAATCTAGGGTAGTCAATCAGATGTTTGAATAGAGCACTGTCAACGTATTAAACAGAGATGAATAACTTCTTTTTGCCATTTGGTGGACTGTAACTACCAATCCAGGAGAATTTGCCATTTGTCAAGAGAAATTAATGATGCAATAGTTACCATAAGTCAAGAAGGTTCATAATGGGCTATTTCAATGCTCTGTAAAATATTAAAAATCAGAAGAATAAACTAAAACTGGGTTATGCACAGGAAATGAAGATAAGTCTTTTTCTTTTGAAGTTAGTCATGTATGTACCTTGAATATTCAATTGGCATGACGTTTCAGCTGTACCAGCATCGTTTCTTGCTTGACAGGAATACGTGCCTGCTGATTTTTCAGTGGTGTCAATGATGACATACTTAGCTACACGATGCTCATATGTCATGCTCTTGCTCTTGAATGCTTTGCCGTCTTTAAGCCTGAAACAATGTTAAACTTCATACAGTAAAGGATGAAATGGAGACTACTAGGTCTACAGAAAGATTGCAAATAGTTTCTTAATTACTAATTATTTTCAGTTATATTTTTTTCTTTACTGCACTGTAAAATTAATTTTGTTTGTAAGTAATGATACAAAATACAACCCTGATGAAATGTAAATTCTTCAAGAAAATCATTTGTGATTACTGTCTGTTACATAGTAGCAGTGGTGGTGGTCATAATAACAGTAGTAGCAGCAGTAGTGGTGGTCATGGTAGCAGTAGTAGTATAGTAGTAGTAGTAGTAGTAGGTAGTAGTAGTAGCAGCAGCAGTTGGAGCAGCAGTAGTAGTGGAGTTAAGAGCAAGTCAACTGTAAAAGGTTACAGTGTCATACTGTAATATGGACGTGTCCACAGTATATATGACATAAGCATGGAACTAGAACATTAAACAGTAGGATATAAGCCTTTTGAATAAATTAAATTTACAAAATGAAGATAAAGTACTATATATACCGTCACAATTCTTTTGCATCTTAATTCTTTACTATTTTTCAATCTTTACTCCACACATCACACATGTTAGAATGGTAAATACATATTGGACTGGACCAAAATACATTATGAATTTTACGGACTATAGTTGTCAAAGTAGGCAGTCTTAGAATTTTATAAATCAGTGACTTTGAACTACGTTGCTTGAGAAGTTGTGAAGCTGTATGAAGATTATATATCTCTGGGGATATATGATTCAGGAGTACTCATAGTACAAATGTACAATAAATAAGATAATGCTGACCAGACTGATAAAGAAATAGAAAGATGTATATCTGAAAATATCAGCATTATACCAGAAATAAAATTTTCTACAGTTAAAGAAGTGCAAAATGAAATAGCACTCCTAAATTCAAGAAAAGCACCTGGCATTGACGAAGTGACTCCAATAATGTTAAAAGAAATGACAATAAAATGATTAGTACTTCTCACATATATATTTAATGCTATTCTCAAACATAAATACTGGCCAAATCAGCTAAAAATAGCAGAAATAATCCTGATCCTCAAACCAGGCAAAAATCCTAATAGTGTGTCATCCTATCTTCCCATAAGTTTATTACCCATCATATCTAAGCTCCTCAAGAGGCTTCTCTCAAAAAGAATAAGGTCTGACCCAAATACAGAAGAATGGATACCATCACATCAATTTGGTTTTAGAGAAAACCACTCCACTGTACAGCAGATACACAGAATAACACATAAAATACACCAAGCAATAGAAAATAAAGAATACTGCACATCAGTCTTCCTTGATGCAAGTCAAGCCTTTGATAAGATATGGTATCCAGGACTACTGTACAAAATCAAAAAATATCTGCCCATCACTTATTTCCACTTACTAAAATCCTATATAAATGGCAGAGAGTTCAGAACAAGAATCAATGATAGCATATTTGCAATAAAATCAGGTGTACCACAAGGCAGTGTCTTAGACCTGCTACTTTATTTACTGTATACAGCAGACCTACCAGTCAATGCAAACACAACAATGGGCACATTTGCGGATGATACCGTGATCCTCTCAGGCAACACAGATCCAGATCCTTCACTTTTCAAAATCATCTAAATCGATTGATTGATTGATTTATTTAACATCCATAACTGTTACATTATGTACAATTGGACAAGTCAGTTTTTTATAAAAAAAAATATATAAGATTAAAAACATCACATCAAATGACTAATAGTATAAAAAACCATAGAAAAATAACATAATAAGTCCTTTAAATATGATAAAACAGTGGATGAGTATAATTAGGCAACAAAAGCTAAACTATAAATTACATGCAATAGCTAAAATAAATTACCCAAGTATCTTTATTCTATTATTGCGCTAATTCTTGTAAAAATATTCTTGAAGGGAATAAAAAGCTTTGCACAACAAGTAATCCTTTAATTGACGCTTAAAAACCTTGAACTCTTGAATACTTCTTATTTGAGAGGGCAAGTTATTATACAATCTTATTCCCATGTTAATCACACTCCTTTTACAACGTGAGGTGTTACATGGTTGGACATACAAATTCTGCTTATGTACTGTGTTATAACCGTGCACATCTGAATACGAGATGTTATATATCCTATTTTTCCTTAAAAAACACAACGTCTCAAAGATATACAATGAAGTTAAGGTTAAAATTTTAAATTCACCAAAAAATTCTCTACACGATACCCTGTTATTGACTCTTTTGATCAGTCTTAAGCATTTTTTTT